GCCAGTCCCCTGGGCCCAGGCTGCTGCCCAGCACTGGGCGTCTCCTCTGCGCTGACTGTGGGCACCGGCTTCTCGTCGGACTCCTCCTCCTCGGGCGTGCAGGTCAGGTCGCCCAGGCACTCGGACTGCGCCCGCTGGGAGAGGAAGAGGACACACAGCATCACTGCAGGGGAAGCAGGAGGCCCGCCACCCGCCCGCTTGTCCAGGCTGCACCCGCTCGGACCTTCACGTCCAGGAGCCTCTTCCTAATCCCTCCCTCACGGCTCTAGTTTGGAGTCTTGCCTCGCAAGCTCACTTTCAGCAGAACAGTGGCAGCCATGCCCTCAAAGTAAATGTCGCCTGAGGCTCTCGTGGCCAAGCCAAGCCCTAGTGGAGGGCGCTCTACGGAGCGAAGCCACGGAAAGGGACCGTGACCAGGTGGAGGGCTGCCACGTCTGCACTCTATGCTTGTTGCTTTCCTCCCGATGCCTCCCAGCGCGGGAAGGATCGTCACTCCCTCTGTGCACTGGCCACGGACGCAGCCGGGCACCTGCTGGCCCGCGGAGCTCCGAGCCCAGAGGGAAGCTGGGGCTCCGCAGAGCCATCCTCCCCTCAGCACCCGCTCCCAGCGAGGGCAGACTATTTGCCTAAAACGGGATTCACAGCATGTCAAACAAGATCAACAGTAACCCACAGCGTACAGGGCAAAGTCCACACTTTTCAGCTCAACTCAGCCTTACAGTCTCTGCTCTTCGGTGTTCCTCCAGCTCCCTCCTTAGTTCCAGCCAAGCCCCCCTGCTGTCCGGACCCGACGGTGGGTCTGCGTGACCCCCCCACACCGCCAGGGCACTCTACCAGCACCCCACAACTCAAATCCGACTCAAATCCCACTCGACAGAAGCCTGGCCTCCTCCCCGAGGCTCTGACTCTCCCTCTCTCCTGACACCTGGGCTGCCTGGTGGCAGTTTTCTTCTCAAAGGTCTGGAATTGGGGCCGGTCCTCCTGCCGCACACAGAGCCAGCCCCTGCTCTTCCGAAGGAAAGGAGAGGAAGGCAATCACTTATCATTCAAAAGCCCAACGTGAAAATGACCCAAAGGCTGTGGTGTGGAGACTGTTGCAGTGAGCTCTCTCCCGCCCCTTTAGGCAACACCCCGGGTGTCAGCAATAGGTTTCTGTTGTCAGTGGATGTTATTTTTAACGATTTCCAGCCAGCATCTCCTCGCTGAAAGAACACAGGATCGCTGGGATGTTTGAACAATACCTCAGCTGAACTCTGGCCAAGATGCACAATCCTCCTCTTCTGGGCACACACAGAGGAAGGTGTGTAAGGAAAAATACAGCAGAATTTTCAAAGCTGCAGGTACAAAGGCATCGCTGGCCTTTCGCTGTCACAGGAAATCATGGACGTTGAAACCTCTTTAGGATGTGGGTCACCTTTAAAATGCTCGGAGCCCACATTGAGTCAGCTCGGAGTGGGAGCAGGCTCCACGGGGCCCACCCAGGGGGAGGCGGCGGGACGAAGGCGGGCGCGGAACACGGACCCCAGAGGATGGACATGGACGTGGAGCAGAGGGTCAGGCACAGCAGCAGAAGGCGTGTGCCCCCCATCTCCACCGCTCCCCGCCCTCCCCCCTCGGGCCTCCCCGGAGACCGGAGGTAGAGGACCCACTGCTCAGCCTTCACAGGGATGGAGACCATCCCGGCTGCTGCTCTTCCCCCTCCTCTCACCAGCACGAGTCCTGGGGCAGATCCCCATCCTCTGCAGGCGGCAGCCCCCCGATGAGCAGTGTGGGGTGAGGAGGTGCCAGGCTGTTAGAGACCCGGGCGTGTAGCTGGCAGCTCTGCCAGCCATGCCACCTTGATCTAGCCGTGTCACCCTGCTGTTCCTGGGAGAGTTCATGACATCCCCTGCTCCTGGCACTGCGGGCTGGGAGCGGACTGACCGTGGGGAGGGGCACGCGGACATTCACCGGGGTTCCCCGTCTGTGCTGGAGCCCCACGGGGCCGTTCTGTTCGGACGGGAAAAGCCGAGGGCACAGCCTGCACTTGTCTCCTGCCCTCTGCTTCGGAGGCCGGCAGGTTCAGCCAAATGCCCACCGGGATGTGTTTCTCCAACGTGAGAGAAACTCTACTTGAGAGCCAAGGATTTCATCCGACCGTGGACGACTGGGCTCTGAAGGTAAGAAAGCCCTTCTGCTTTCTTCCAGAGCTCGACTGAGTCAGAGCCTCGGGGATGTGCAGGGCAGTGTGCCCCACTTGGACCGAGCAGGGATGACCAGCTGGCACGGACGGCCATTCTGCCCAGATGGAGGAAGGCGCCTGGGCAGCAGGAGGAAGAGACTAAAGTAGAGGCTCTGCAGGTGCCTGAGCCCGGGGCGGGGGAGGGTGGGTGATGGAGAAAGAAGTCCCAGCTATTAGAAAAGCAGGGGCGACTTGGGCCTCACTGTCTCGCGAAGCCCAGAGGGGAGTGAACCTCCACGGACACGCAGGGTCAGGAGGGCAGCCGGTGGGCAGTGTGGTGGCTCTTCCCCACCCGCAGAGCAGGATGGGAGCATTAGAAAGCAGCTGAGTCCCAGGGGGGCCCTGGTACCAGGAAGGTCCTCATGGTTGGGAAGAGGGACCTCATGGCCAAAGGGCAAAGGGCACTGTGGACAGGAAGAACAGAAGCCTCCCGCTGAGGACCAAGCAATGACACTGGTGACCACGGGCCGGATACCTCTGCCCAGTCAGGAAAACACGCAGACCTCCCAAAGCCTAACCTATCCGTGCTGCTCCCACCAGGGAAGAGAAGGAGAGGAGAGGACACGACAGTTTAAATTAAGGAAAGACTCTGTTTACCCAGATGGGGAGGATGAGAATTCTTGTTGTTCTAAAATGTGGTGAAGAGCTAAGTCAAGTTCAAGAGCAAAGAAAGAGGCACAGCTCCTCTTACCCGGGGCAGAAAGAGGGGGTGCTGCCCTTCCCCTGAAGCAGGAGCCAGCTGCTCTCGGCCCCAAGTCTGGCCGGGCTGGTGACTTGCTCCCCTGCAGGGCCACAGACATCCCTGGGAATAAAGCCCACCTTGAGGGCCAGCGGGAGCTGCTGCGTCCCTGCCCTGGGCGCCACGCAGCACGAGGACGGGCAGGCCAGAGCGACTGGGCCTTGGCACGTCCCCCAGCTCAGAGCCTCTCACTGTAAATGCCCTGGATATTCAAGCGCCTGTGCACACCCGAGGCCCCGGCTCTGTGAGGGCACAGTGCCGGCTCCGTGAGGGCACAGTGCCCTGGAGGCAAACACAGCTCATTTCCTTCTTCAGCATCGGTCCCCTCAAAAGTCAACCTTTAAAACCCATGCCAAGCCTTCCAGCATGAGCTTCAGAAGCACATTCCACATGCCCAAAGGGGAACCCACTGTCTCAGGGGGTCCCCGACATCCTGGGTGGCCCCGCGCCACCGTCTCCAGCTGAAGCACCGCGCTTGTCCGGGGCCTTCATCAGCCCCATCTTGTCTCGAGGGACGAAGGGAGGGAACGCTGGTCAGCGAGCACCCCTTTCTCAGCACTGGGTGCTGCCTGGCCTCAGCTCCTCGGGGTGAGGCAGTGTCCGAACACCAGGCTGGGGAGAAGGCACCCACCCTGCATGGACCGTGACTCCCTGGTACGATGAGCGAGTTCTCGACTCCCACGGCTATGAGCTGACACCTGCCCAGGCCGCATCCCCAAGAGGGTCTGTCCTTACAGGGGCACCATTCCTCTGCTACTAAGCAGGTGCTCACCCAAGGGGGGGGGGGTCCAGTCTAGTGGCTGCTTCTTTTGCCATCACTCATTCCCTGAGTGTTTACTCATTCATGCATTCAACAAATGTTTGCTGGGTCAGCTCTGTGAAGAGCCGAGCCCCAGGGCTGGAGGCACAGCTGGGACAAGGCCTCGGAGAAGACAGGCAGTAAACAAGTGAGCATGCATTTCCAAAGGTCGCGCTGCGTAGCCCGTGCTATGAGGGAAGTGAGCACCGTGGGGGAGGCGGACGCGCTTAGGTGAGCCCATGGGGAGAGGACCTAGAGGCGAGACCCCGAGGCTGAGGAGGAGCTGCCAGGAGATCAAGGAGGGACAAGGCCTGTGGCCGGAGGCAGCTCGGAGAGCTCAGGAGCAGGAGGAGGCAGAACAAGAGGAAGCCCGAGGCAGGCTGGGGGGTGGGGTGGGGGGGCAGAGTGTGGACTTCGCTGAGTGCAGAGGGAAGGCAAGGAGAGGCAGCACACAGCAAGCAGGTCCTTGACAAGGGTTGCAGAGAGAGTGAATGAATGAAGGAAGGAAGGATGAAGGAAGGAAGGAAGTGTTTATGTAGGGGAGAGACATATTAATGTATGTTGTCCATGGGGCCGTGGGAGTCCCTCTGGGGGGCACTTGGCCCTGGGGGGAGAGAGGCGGGGGAGAGGCGGTGGGAGGGGGGCCGATTACCGAGGACAGGCGCCTCATTTTGCTGGAGCGCTGGTTGCGGGGCTTAACCAGGAGCTTGTGCTTGGCTGCGGAGTTGTCCAGGCAGGAGGAGGATTCTGGGGGGCAGCTGAAATCAGCCACCGGTGCCACGCTGC